ATTCCAGTCTTCTAGCTTCTCACGTTCTCGAGTAAGTAACTTGCCCGGAAGGAACTTTCACGGGCCCGTACGTAGGTACCACGCTTACCTGCGGGCAGGGTTTGAACTCATTGATACCCACCTAGACAGAGAACACCGCCTTAAGATTTCAGCTCTCTAGCTTCTCAGAACCCCGAGTTGTGAACTTACGCGGGAATAATTCTGGGGGGCTCGTGCACGGGCACCACGCTTACCCTGGGGCTGGATTTGAGCTCATTAGTACCTATTTGGACGGGGAACATTCCCATAAAATTTCAATTCTCTAGCTTTTCTGGTTTGCGAGTTATCAGCTTACCCGTAAAAAACTTTGGCGGGGTCTTACGTGGGTACCACGCGGGAAAGACTACCCATTTTGGGGATAGGGACCCGAACTTGCATGTAGATTAAGTCCCCAAAGTTTGAGCCCCGTAACTTTTGCCGGTCTCGAGATGAAAAATCGGTACAGAGGCCCAGCGTACACACAGACACACGCACACACACACACACACACACACATACACACACACACACAAACACACACAGACAACCTCTCATCGATATGCGTTTTTCGCACTGCATTGGTGCAAAAAACGCATAATAACAATAGGAAACTTCAAAAGACAAAGTCAGAAAGATTTGTCTTCACCACACAGCTGCCGTCTGCGCTTTCTGCATCGAGGTATTTTTTTTTTCGAGAATCAGTACAGTCGGCAATGAAATAAATTCATTATTTGAAGCCTCTCTTGGCCATTAAATCAGTTTGTAAGAGCAGGAGACTTTTCTAGAGCATTTATTAGCAATGCGGATTAAACTGCAATCAGTTTCTTGCATTTAATTACATTATCGCCAGTTCCGTTATTTCCCTTTCCACTTTTCTTTATTCTTCTTTAGTCGTCGGTTCCTTCCAATAATGCTCTTCTGTAAAAGTGGTTTGCGCAAATTTTAAATTCTGGATTTAAAAACATGAGTGGAAATTTGAGCCTTCTCTTCCGTATCAATTGGCCAATCGAAAAAGGAAAAAAATTAGTTTCATAAATGAAGCTGAGCAGCATTTACCCGCTCGAACGCGTCACTGGTCCATCCAGAGGGGTTCCATTCGCAGTCCTTGGTCTGTTACTTCTATTCTGCATTCTACGGCCAGTACCACGAGCGGCCGTTTTTTCCGTCACTCTGGCTGGTTTGGGGCCGGTGCGTGTTGTAGTCGCTGGTGTACCTCTGCGTCGTCGTCCAGCAGGCATTTTTGGGGGAGCTGGAGCACGGAAAATTCTTCTCGGTGCTGCATCAGGTTGTTCTTCGCTTTCCGTCTCCTCATCTTCGACGTCCTCATTGCAGATGTCATATTCGCGACTAAAAGTGGATTAGTTTCAATGAATACAATTGAAGTTTTTTTAGCAATTACGCTAGGTGCGAGATGATGCGGTGCAGGTCGCAGCTCCGGCAGTGTCGACCGCTTTTGTAAAGTTCGCCGTCCGTGTCATAATCGTCGTCGTCCTCGTCATAGTCATCAGAATAGCTGCT